CGGAGTGTCGTCAATGTCCGTACCTCGTTCGGGCTAGAATTCCCAGACTATTTACGAACCTGCCGCCGCTTCTGTTCCAGATTGCGACAGCCTTCGGGCAGTCTATCAGGAGCCGTTCAGTCGGCTCCCACGAGTTCTCGGAGTGTGCATAACCCTCCACTTCACGAGGAGCTGTCGCTTACCGTGACGCCGTCGCTCCTGGAGAATCTGCTCCACGTGGTAGTGGACTTCTCCGTTCCGGTCAAGCAGGGGCCAGGGGGCCCTCGTACGAGAGCGAGTACCAGGCGCCTCCGGAACGCTTTTCTCGTCCGGGTGTTTCGCCTGCGGGTCCGACGCAGGGCCCTGAGGTCGACCGTCACCGTCAACGAATCCTCGTGCTTAAAATTGTACTTTGCCTTGGGACTGGCGGTGATGCTGCCGCCCAGACTGGGAATCAGGGCGTGATCGTTCGTCTTGCGGGCGGCCTGGACCAGTTGAAGTGGAATGACTCGAGCCGGCATCTGCGGGTGGACTGCCGGGCCTCTTTGTCCGATCTTGACGAGGCCTTCCGCATGATCCGACGTGTTGAGGCTCTGCTGCCACGTCCAGAGCCGTCTCCGACGCAATTCCAGCCGTACGCGTATGGTGCTTACCCGACGTATTTGGTGTATGGCTCTTGGGTCCGATCGTACGGGGCCACTCCGGCGTACGGTTTCGACCGCAGCCTTACTGTTCAGCCCGAGGCTTGGGTGCCTGCTCCGGCGCCCTCGTCGACATCTGCTACCAGACCTTGCTTCAAAGAGTTAAACCAAGGTGGGTTTGCGAGACAACCCCCTGTGGATCATGGTACCGCTTAAGACGTTCAACGTAGAGCGTCGGGTCCGTCGTCATTGACTTAGGCAGGTCAATGGTGTTCGACGCACCATGCCTGGCCAGGACCGCGAACGGTCCAATGAAGCGGCTCTTCAGCTTGTTGCTGCCGACAGTGTCTAGTCGTAAGCTTCTCGTGTCTAATAACACTTAGTTACCCACCTTAAGCACAGTTAAGTTCCCTCTTCCATTTTGTCAGAGTAGACCTTCTGTCTGTCCTGGGACGCTGCCATGGCATTGCGGGCCCTGCTGATCACACTCAGCTTGGTATCCACAGAGGCCTCTACTTGTTTCCGCAGCGAAACCGGTCTCACATCTGAGACATGGGAGGAAAGAGCTTTCCGCGCCTCTACCCTCACTTAGAATAGAGGAAGCAGTGTCTCCTCGAGGAGTGAGGGGTACTCTGGCGTGACGGAAGCCATTCAAGTAGAACGGCGTAAGCCCCGTGGACACGTGCACCGCGTTGTTGAGGGCAAACTCAATAACTGGAAGCTGCGTCGACCACGTACATGGGACCTCTGCGCACCCAATGCGCAGAGTGTCCTCAAGCACTCTATTGACGCGCTCCGTCCGGCCGTCTGTCTGCGGATGGTCCGCAGTGGACATCTACAGACGAGCTCCGAGTATAAAAAACAGCGTTTTTCTAAACGCAGCCGTGAACTGCGGGTATCGGTCCGAGGCTATCGTCTCCGGGAGACCGTGATAGTGGAACACGCCATCGAAGCCCAACCTTGCGGTCTTTTCGCATGTGACGGTAACGGGTACTGGAGCAAGATGAACCATCTTGCTCAGCCGACACACGAGCACCAAAATCCCGGTGTTGCCGTGTCCGTCGGCGGGAAGCCCGAAAATGAAGTCAAGACTCATCGACTTCCAACAGTCAGCCGGAACGGGCAGGCTCTGTAACGGAGCCGAATCGAGCCCTGTGGGTTTAACCCGCTGACATGTTTCGCATGTCGTCACGTACCGGGTGACCCACTTGTACATGTGAGTCCACCAGAAAGCCTGAGAGACCGACAGGAAGGTCTTTTCCCGACCTAAGTGGCCGCTGGGGGGCGCATCGTGCGCCTCCGCGAGGATGTCGAGCTTCAGATCCGCGTCGTTGGGTACGACCACCCGTGGAGGCTCACTAGGCTCTGCCCGGTAGTAGAAGAGGCCATTCTGCAACTCATATCGGTGGAGCCGGGAACGCTGCCGTGGCGAAAGCCAGTCGGCTCTCGCGTTCGTTCCTGCTGCTAGTACCTTGACTGTAACGGGGTACGTAGCACTAAGTGTACCCTGGTTACATGAAGTGTGACACTTCACACTTCAGGAGTATGACATGTCATACTCCGGGATATTTGGTACAAGGTACCAAGGTCATTCAAAACCAACCATTGGTTAAATGACATTGCATTACTATAGGTAACTGATAGTTTGTATTAACCTCAAACTTAACCTACCTATAAATATACTCAGTTTACAATCTACCCTTATTTAGGTCACTTCGCTCTCTTTAATTAAAAGAGGGACCTGTGAACTGCCGTTCACTGAGAGTTTGTATAGTCTCGGAAGCTAACTTCCTCTAGCGCAAGGTGCTGTGTGACCCCGTCACACTTGGGTAGCACTCGTAGTCAATTCACGCCACCGCAGTTAGACTACCTGAACTCCTCCGAAGTTCGTTGCCATGGATAGGAGCGACTTCTCCCATATGAACGACTCTCAGTTCGAGTCGGTTCGGAAGATGGCAGGCATCTTCGGGATGGAGGCCCTGCAGAGCCTGGTGGTGTCAACACCGGCTGAGCAGCTCGAGCGCGTCAATGCATTCGACGCGTACGAGCAGGGCCTCATCGCGCATGTGCAAGAGAACCTGCAGGCTCCGGCGGCGGAAGCAAATCCGCCTCACCCGAAGCCAATACGGCTGAAGGCTAAGCCGTATGAAGGGAAGGAAGGCGAGAACCTTCACTTATGGGTCCGGGAAGTAGAGCTCGCGATGGACGCGGCTCTGATCTCGACCGAGCAACTTCGTATTGCTTTGCACTCTCCAACCTTAGCGGCCGTGCTAAGAGCTGGGTGTACCGACGGGAGGCAACATCCCCTGGATGTTTCACATCCTGGGCTCAGCTGTGTGAACAGCTCCGAGCCGCGTTCCTCCCGGCGAGCTACGAGTACCGCCAGCGTTCGCGCTTCCTCTCGTGTAAACAAGGGAGGCGTGAACTGCAGGAGTACGTGCAAGAGATACGGGAACTCACGGC